CCCTTACTCCTGTGGATGCCAAAATATTCGGCTCAAAAGGCCAGCTTAGCCCTGCTTTGACCCAGCAGGTTGATTCTGCTGGCCATCTGTTTTGATAGCTAACGCCCAGGTACGGACCATCATCCTACCGTCCTTGTTTTGTATTGTTAGCGACGAATAGTCTGAACCTAATGCGGGATGGACGTTGAAGCTGCAGGTATGGTTGCTATATATCCCAGATTACGCCGCCTGATGGGTATGGGATACATGCTATCAAGCATATAGGTATCTCATCTAAGCACTCGCGATAGTGTATGGAAAAGCGATTCCTACACTCTGCCAGCACGCAGCCGCGTTCGAGTGAAGAAGGAGAAGAACCAAAAAAAAAAAAAGGCAAGCCTCAAGCTCGACTCAGTTGACGCTCTTGGCTTGAAAATGAGACAGCTGTTGGCGTGTGTACTACCAACGCCTGGGTAACCTGGGAATACAGAAGCTGAAAGATGGGTCAGACAACACAGAACTTGCATCCACAAAGGATATCATGATTGAACATCAACTAGAAAGGCTGGAGGTCTGCGTTGGCAATCTCTTGATCAAAGTGATTAAAAGAACCTTCAAAGGCGCCGCTTCGATGCATCGGTTGTCGCAGCCAGCCAAGTGGCAGCGGAGCAAATGATGAAAAGCCAGCATTCCGAACAAATATCTCACGGACTTGAAAGACTCGCCCAAAGTTCAATGTCCCATCTTCTGTGAAATGGCTAAGGAGCTTGCGCTACAGATTTTGTGCATTTTGTTGTCAATAAAGAGGAACAAGTGCATCAGAGCGCGGCAATTTCCACAATGATCTTGTCACATCCATGCATAAAGAGTGTTGTAATACATGGGCACCTGCTTTTGTGGGGTTTGCAATGACTGTGAGAAAGAATTTTGCTGAAAGAACATTACGGGGAATTCTCTTCCCCAAGAACCTGTACGGCGTCTGCATGGAATGCTTCTCTGCTTGCGATCTTTGCCCCTCTTAATTGCTCCCTTATTCCCTTTTTCTCTCGCTCTTTTTCCTGCTTCTGTTTTGTTTAAAGGTTGAAATACACGTTGGATAAGTTAACATGCTTTGATCGGCTCCCAATTGCCCAGTCAAATATGTATCCCTTGCAGAGTGATCATTGGTCGAATGACGGGATCTCCCTTATTGACCTTGGCCTATGGTAACTAAGTAGGAAATTTTAGCCGGAATGAGCTTCCCAGGGTCCGGAGTTGACTGGTGGTCCAAGCCAGCTCTGATCCAGACATTGTTTCAAAACGGGCAAATTCGAAGAAATTGTAACCCGCAGTTGAATAATTGGCAGCAATGCTAGGTATGTAATAGACACGGGATCAGCCTTAATTATAGAGATCGTTTCCTGCCGTGCTTATATCAGGGAGATCATATGGCTCACATGGAACCGGGGTATATTGGCGCTCATTCGCTGGAGAAAATTCGAAAGAGCCTTTTTCTTTAGTGTGCAGGCGATCGGAATAAAAGGACAAGACAAGGAGAGAGAACAAAGCGAGAGTTTGAGTCAACGGGGAAAAGCGAGGTTTCTTGCTTGTTTGGGCATCGTGTCGAAACTTTTTGCTTGTTCATACATAAGTTTCTTGCCTGCAGCGGGGTTTTGGTTTTCAGAGGGAGGGGAAAGGATGGCGAGACGGAGGAACTGCTCCATACGGATGAAAATAACAGGGCAGAATGAGGGGCAGGGGAAGGGGCCGAACCTTTCTCACGAACTCGCGCGCTTTGAGCTACCCCTCGAAATCCCGCACTTTCGCTGGTTGCATTCTCCTCCTTGATATGTATGTGTGTAAGAGTGTGTATCTGTGCCAATGTCTGTACTCCGTGTGGCTGGATGGGTGAGCCGCCTCGGGATGCATATTTAGAAGTATCGATGCCCAACGAGGCATCGGGAGCGGAGCATGTGGATTCTGGGGGAGAAAAGGGCGTTCCCGGGCTTGGGGTTCCAGGGGTTACATGTAACTTATTCTGTACGTGTGCATCATTGCACGGGGATGCTTTGTCCGGGGCATTTTTCCAGAAAAGCAATGATTTATCATCAGGCTGCCGCCATGACTTGGGGGGTGACATACAGGCTCTGTCCTGACTAGCCGTTCCCGTTTTCTGTTTCCTCTGCACGTCATGTGCGTTCAGGGAAGAGCAAAACCAGCGGGGGTTGGTGGCAACTCGGCCCCGTGTGAATGCTGTGTTTCGTCATAAGAATAGATGTGTCCTGTTCGCTGTTTGCTCCTGGTCTTAGCTGTTACCTGGGCCGATTGGCCTGCCATTTGTCATCTACGGGGAGTCTGGATTCCGGATACACAAGAAGCAGGCAGCAGTGACGAACTGACGAGGTGTGACGGCCACACCAAGACCGAGCCTGTTGTTGGATGACTGGAGATGGTGGCTGCGAGGTCTGGAAGACTCAGGTGAGCAGCTGACAGTTTCGCGAGGAGGTTTGCCATCCGCTGGCCACAGGCTCCAACAAGATGTTTCCAGGTAGCCTAGTTCTGCTGGTAGTGGTGATGGTGGGTGGTGGTGGTGGTGGTGGCTACTTTCGACACTGCCTACTTCATGACTACGCAGCGGGTATCTCAATAATCTTGTCTGTCGTGTGTTGCTTCGAGGCTTGCTTGCTGCGCAGATGGGAGCGGGCACACTCCGTCGCTAGTTAGTTAATAATGTGTTGATATTGTTTTCGGACAGCATCGGAGCAAACTTGCAAGGCGTTAATTAATTTGTCGCCGAGAAATGTTGCATACCCGTGGACAAAAACTTGCCCACCAAATTGCCTGTGGAGAATGTGACGACAGAGGGACACATGAGCTGCACAAAAATCATTTAGGCTCAAAAAAAATTTCAGAGAGAGAGACCTTTCCAAAGGGCGTGCTGGTGCCTATCCTTTTTTCGTTGTAGGCGGAAAAGATTTTCACGACAGACCCCGAGCGGTTGCTCCCGGCAACAACCCCAAAAAAAAAAAAAAAAAAAAAAAAAGGGCGAATTTCTCGAATGAGGATGCGGAAGGGAGCCAAAAAAAAAATTTCGAATTTCGATTTCTGCGATTGGTGAGAACGGCAAGAAACTCCACTATGGGATGGGGATCTCGGGCGGCTGGGTTCGTCAGGATCTGGCGGTCGGGGGTTGGGAGAAATCTTCCAGGTCGGCAGTTCAGGCGAGAGACGACGATTGATTGGGATGGCCAGGAATAATACCCGGTGGGCGGTAAACTCGGTTTGTTCCAGCAACGTACATGCTATTAATGCCTGTCCCACCGGGGGTTTTCGCTCTACGTGTCCTCAGCCATGCAATGTTGCTTAAATCCTCTTATCGATGGGGGTGAGCATGTGGGTGCTCCTCTTTCTCCTCCCCGGTGAAGGGGGTTTTGTCGTCTGAGTGGACGGAGGCGAGCTGTGCCAACTGGAGGCCTCTCCGAGGAGTTCCTCCGTGGTAATACGTATACGGGTGGCCGTATTCATATATGTCCCGGTGTACGGAGGACTATGGGGACTCAATTCGCCCGCCAGTTACGGGTGCGTTTGATGAGGATTACTGTATTCCCGTACGGAGTACGGACGTGCAGTTATGTCAGCAGGCGGACGCTCTTGCGCGGATGCTCATTGGTGGGCTCGGCAAAATCAGCGACTGCTCGAGCGCGATTTGCACCAGGAACCCCATACTGCTATTACATCATTTAATACGGATGACAGGGCAAGCACGTTACAACAGCGTTACATAACCACCTCTTGTCGACCTGTAAAGTACGTTTTCTGTCAGGAGGAAGTGACACTCAAACATTACCGCGCCCTGAGCTTTTGTGGCTCTCGCAGGGTCATTAAAATAGCCACCCCAAAAAAAAGATACTCTGTGTGAAATCCCGCCAAAATTGGTTGGTTTACTTATCTGCTCTCCACTTGACCCAGTCAAATGCTCTATTTTTGAGTGTTTCTTTCGCCAGTGGCGCAGTTTGGACCGGTTTTTCCGTGCAGTCTCTGCACAGAGATTTACAGTTCTGACGGACAGAGCGCGAAGGCGGTGTCAGTCTGGACCAGCAAATTGAGTTCTAGAAAAAGACACATGTCCAGCGAGGTACTGTACATACATCCATCCTGCCAAAAAAAAAAAAAAAAAGAGGCCCCTTACGGACCCATTACCGTGTATTTTTGATCGACCAATTCTCAGCGACATTGGCAGTTTTGAGCGCAGATTTGACAGTCCTTGGAGTTACGGGGGAGTGCGAGCATGGAGTTAAGTTACATGTTTCCGCTGCCCTCGTCCAGGTCGAGGACATTGGATGGAGTACCTCCGGGGGCTTCTCGTGTCTCAAAAGCACGGAACATCCCCATCCACCCCCTCCAGGCCACGGAGTGCATTGTCACATCACTGAAAAGTGCGATTTACATATGTATGGATTTTGATGAGCTAGTAATATCATCGATATGAGTGGATACTCAAGCAAGCATCTTCCGTCCCAGTTTGCGTTCATTTCAATTTTTTTCTTCGATCGAAAAACCTTACTGTGGCCCAGGCGCTGGGAGGTTGTATTGATAGCGTGTGTGTTAAGCGTGCGTGTTGAGTAAAAACGGAGAACCTTGGATCAACGGATAGAGTGGACTCCTTTTCTTTTTCCTTTTTTTTTTTTTTTTTTTTGCCTCCCCGGAGGAGGAACCGGATTACGAGTTCGAGAAAAACCTTTTGAAGTCATCTGGATGCAGGATGACTGGACCTCGCCGGGTGGGTGGTTGGGTGAGCCAGGTTTATTTAGCAGCAGCGCGACTCAGCCTGGGCGTACGGACGGCGTAATGGGCTGGGTAACTTACAGCTAGCCCGCTCAAACTGGGTGTTACCAGTCTGAAATTTTCCATCCCATCCAGAAAACCCAAATTTGTCTTAGCCTGTCATCAAACCATCACAACCGCCTCGCTCGCTTTTTTTTCCTTCTCTTCTCCTCCCTCCCTTGTTCCTCCTCCTGTTCCTCTCCCTCATAATCCTCCCCTTCACTCCCTCTAGTCCTTTGACGCTGCTCCCTTGCTCCATCCCGTCACCGTCTCCTCTCCTCCTGACTAGCTCTCTCTGCTTCAGCTTCGAAACGAGCTTTTCACTAAGTCTCGTTCCTCGGCCGCTTTCAAATCCTCACTCTGGGAGCTTTGCACGATATCTCGGCAGTTATAGATTCCTTTGACCTTTGATTTCTTTCCTTTTTTTTTTTTTCCTTTTTTCGCCTTTTTTGTCCTTGTTCTTTATTTTTGACTCCGGCTTATAACGACTTGTCTGCCTCCTCTCTGTCCCAAAGTGCTCTTGAGCCTGTGGCTTGCCAGCCTGCTTCTCGCGCGCCGTATACCCTTGGGAAAGTAATCGACACCGCTTTCCAATGTCGCAGTGCTAGGGGTCTCTCTTATCTTTCTAAAGACGTCTGCAGAGCTTCGGCTCGTCGTCGAAGTTCTTGAAGCTCGGGACCTGGGATAGGGTGTAGAAAAGGGTAAGGGTTTGCTTGGAAAACGTACTCGCAAGGACCCTGCAGTCGTTGACCTCTTTGGTTCCAGCTCTCTGCCGTCTACATCTTCTTCCTCGACCCAGCTCCACCTTCTCTGCACCATGCCGTCCTTCTACTCTGCTGCCATGAACAATGGCTTCCCACCAACTCCTCCCCACGTCCATCTCGGTAATCGAATGGAGGTTGATCAGGCTTACTATCCTCCTGGTCACCCAGCCTATCCTGTGAGATATGCAAACGGCTGCGACTGCACCGACCAGTACCCGTCGTCGACGGGGTACTGCCAGCGCCATCCGCTGTCAACACACCAGCAGTCGTTGCGTTCCGCTCGTGCCAATCGAGAAATGAAGGCAACCAACACTATGCTATCTCGACAGACCATGTACCCGTCCATGAATGCTGGTTCAAATCTTCCTCCCCTGAGATCGAACACGACGCTCCCGCCCATGGACAGCGCCGTCCCACCTCAGTACAGACGTCGCGAACCATCGACTCAGTCAGACCAGAGACCCAAGGAGCAAAAGTCAACTGGCGGAGTTGCAGCACATTTGGATTACGATATGGATCAAATGACAGATTTTGTGGCAGAAATGGCCCAGGGAATGTATGCTTTGTACACGTCCAAAATCAGACTTTCAGATATTGACATTATCCGAAGCGTTTACCCAGGCACGACAGTATCGCGACAGTTTAGGAAATACGTCTATCAGATTCTTTCGTCGACCCGTTTACCTAGCTCCACTATCCTTTTAGGCCTGTACTATCTCTCCTCAAGAATGCGGATGCTCTCTACGGGGGAAGTATATGCATCCGGGACCGGAGAAGTTTATCGCATGCTCACGATCGGCTTATTACTTGGCAGCAAGTTCCTCGATGATAACACATTTCAGAATCGATCGTGGTCGGAGGTCAGCAACATCCCTGTTTCGGACTTAAACTCAATGGAGTTGGACTGGTTGTTTGCATTTGATTGGAAGATCCATAATCGCATCCACAGTCAGAATGATGGATTTTTGACTTGGAAGGCACACTGGGATACCTGGCGTGCAAAGTCCGATGCTCGAGTCTATCACGAGTCTCGCACGAAGTTGGCTCCGATTGACACGAGCATCCAGCGACACAGTTCGATCCCCAAGCCTCTGCTATCCCCAGAGGGACCGATTCCACCACAGTACCAGAGAGGCGGGTGGTTGACGCCAATGAGCTCGGACTATTCACCGCCATCTGCACCTCACACTGGCCCCACCACGCCGGATTACTACCAAGCCGCCCCATGGCCATTTAATAATCCGGCTCCATTTTCACGAACTTGGGTCCTTCCTCAGCAATTTGTTGCGTCTCGCTCTCAGCCGCCATCGTATCGGCCAACCCCATCTTATGTTCAAGGATTTTCCCCAACGGCATGGACTGGCCATGGCAGTGCGTGTGGTTGTTTGTACTGTGCCAAGAGCCAGGAGCATTATCTCCCAGCAATGCCGTTTGGTGTCCAGCCGGTGGCAGGATGAGTTTCACTTCTCCAGACCGTTCCTAATTTGTTCAAAGTACACCTGTTTAATGACGCGCGAAATTCAAATGCGACGACTTAATGCATCGATTATAGCGAAGCGAACCTTCCTCTTACGTGCGTTTCTTGAGTGTCTCAAGAGGACCCAAAAAAAATCGTCTACAAAAATTGTTTGGTGTCGGAAAAAAGTCTTTCTGCAAGCCCATGGATCCCACGAGAATTTGGAACTCGTCCAGCATGTGGCTTCTTTTCTTCTATACTCATTCTCACGAGCGGAAATTCGCCTTTCGTGTGTGTTCATTTGATTTTTCCCGATTTGCATTTCATCGTTTTCGCTCCTTTGTTGCTTTGATCTTTTTTTATTCTTCCAAGCTGGGGATGATCTCACGTCTACTACTTTCCGTATTCAAGTGTTCGAGGATGACTTTATGATTTTATTGCTTCTTTCTATGCTTTTCTATTTTCTCTCGCTATTTCTCTTCTCCCCCTTTTTTTGACCCAGCAAATTCCCTTTTGGCATTTTCCTGGAGGCGCATTTTCCCCGGTATAGAACAACTTCATTTTCACTTTTTTTGACTGGTTGAAACTTACATCGAAGTCTTCCTGGCGTTTCAGTGTTCTTTTTTATCCCCTTTAATTGATGTTTGCACTGCGACCTTTTTGGCCGGCTTCTAAGTGTCTCTTTGTTCCATAGGTTGTTAACAGTTGAGCCTGTTTGCTTGTCACTGCGTCTTGTCTTGTTGCAGATTTGCTGCAAGAACCAGTGCTAGTTTGAGCTCTTTGAACAAGATGCCCTTTGAGACAGTTGTCGGCCTAACTTACCCCTTCTTTTTTTTGTGGCATATATCTCCCTTTGTTTTGCCTTGTTTCTTCCTCTTTATTATTATCCCGGATCTTTCCCGCCATTCTGTGTGATTCCGCTTCCATCTCTACCAAAAATACTCGAAAAAATGCTGCCGTCGGATTTTCGGCCGATCTTTCTATTGTTGATTTTTTTTACCACTAATCCCACATTTCGTCAGATTCTTATTGAATTCGCTTCACTGTTTTGAAAAAATGACTAGTTTGGTTTGGTTGAGGAATGAGATACCCTCAATTGTGTTTTACGGTCCCATGTTTGAAAGGTGGGAATGTTTCCAGTCTTTTTGCTTTTGTTTTAAACTTGCGAGAGTTTCAATAAGAAGATGATTTTCAGGGAGGATGAATTATGCTTTGTGTTTATTTGAGAGGGAAAATTTAGTGTTGTGCGATTAACATGTCTGACTTGCTTCAGTTGAGAGAGTTGTCTGTCTTTCTTCAGTTTTATATCCTTCTTATGCGCTGGGGTGTTCTACATATGCAAAATTAGCTGAGAGTACAGAGTAGTTGTGGACAGATGAAAAATTGAAAAAATCTTGGTGAGGGTTGGATGAGTCTTTTTTTTCGTTGCAACATATTCCCTTTCCTATTTTCCTATTCCAAAATCATATCATGGAGGGAGGACCGGGCCATCCTACAGGATTTTGGAAAACGCTAAACATGTATTTTTAAATCAAACATATTTTCTCGGATAGTATGGACTGGATTATAGATTAGCTATATACATGCTACATATCTTTTGATCAGCCAAGAGAGGTTTATTTGTTTCTCAGTTCTAATAAATCCGTTACGTGCGTTAAAAAAAAAAGTTAGCAGTCAGTATACGCTCGCTTGAACGCCCTGCTCGCGCTCCTTGATCATGTCAACGGCCTCCTCTTCGTCCTGAAGTTCGTCGGAGATAGCCTTTTCTCCGTTTGTCGATGGTGGAGGAGGGTCTTTTTCGGCCGCACCGTCTTCGTCGTTGGAGCAAAGGCTCGAGGACGACCGGCGCGAGGCTAGGCCATTGTCGTCCGTGTCGCCCAGGGAATTTGCCATGGCATGGGGCCGGCTGTCGCGGAGAGTAGTGCGCAGCTGGTGCTGACTGCCGGCAAAGTTGAGCATGTTTGGTGGCCTGGGCGTCTGCCCGTTTTGGTCCTCCTGGTCGTCTATGCCGCCGGGGTTGATGGGTCCGTTGGCGTAGAGATTTTTCAGATCTTCGTCATCTGGACGGTTGGAGGCGAATGAGGCGCGGCTGGTGGCGCCGCTGCGGGAGCCGCCGGCGTCTCTTCCGCCGCCTAGTTGGAGGATGGCGAGCCCTCGGGTGATTTCGCTTTCGGTCTGGTGGGTGTGGTCTAGGTAGGGCTTGGGGTTGACTGGACGGCTGGTGAAGTCGATGTGCTCCGGGTGTGGTATGAGGGCTTCTTGCTGCTCGTTTTCGCCATCATTATTAGCTGTCGCTTCCTCTGGTGCGGGTTGGGAGTTTTGCTTTTGCAAGGAAGGACTCTTTCTCCTATACGATTTCGAACCGTGATTGCAGCCATCCGGACAGCCTCCCCATTTTCGTCGAATGGGGACAGCGGAGGTTAACATCACTGGGCTTGTCGAGGCGATATCTGTCCCAAACGCGGCCTCTCGGGCAGCCTTCGCCTTTTGCTTGTCCAGATCCCGCTGCAGTTTGAGCTCTGACCATGTACGTAACTGGTTTTGTAGGATATATTTTCCGTTATCCTGGTTCTTCTCCATCACGACAAACTCGCAGTGGTTTATATTTCGTAGGTCCTCGAAATACTCCACGCTGAAGTGGTACCATTTCATGAGGAATATGCGTGTCATCAAGCCGTGGGTGACCAGCACACACACGCTGGCGAAGTCGTCTTCACCAAAGAGTCTCCAGAGTGACTCATTGAATCCGCTTACTCGATCATATGCATCTGCGGCAGACTCTCCGCTGGGGATTCGGTAGAAGAAGTGCCCGTAATCCGCACGTTCCTGCCACATCTTCTCCATTGCCGCCGAGCATGGCTGGAAATTTCCAAAGTCCTGCTCCCGTAGCCGGGGTTCCTCGTAGACCTTGATTGTATTTCGAGGGAACGGGGATGGGGATGGATCGTCTGAGGTCAAAGAGGTGAGGATGCCTTCAGTTGTTTCTCGCGTTCGCCGATAGGGAGAGGTGAAGAAGTGTAGAGTATCGTCCGGACGTAGCATGGCCCGCAGGCGTCGCCCGGCTTCCAGGGCCTGCCTGTGCCCCTCGGGAGTGAGTTTGACTCGGTGGTCGGGGACGGTCTGGTGGATTTCCCGGTTTTTGTTTCCTTCGGATTGCGCATGGCGGATGAGAATAATTAGCTGTGTGATCACATTTGCGGTGTTAGCATATTCAGCGGTAGAAGAGGTTTTGGATCGTGGGTGGCACAGACTCGAGGCTTGCCCATGGTTATTCAATGTTTTGCAGATGAATCCCTGTGGTCACGGCTGGTTTCGAACAGAGTAAGATAAGCGATGACGAAGACTGATAAGGCCTGGCAGACTCGGGATCGATGATATATGTCCTTCTGAAGCAGGGCGAAATTGTACTTGATTTAAATTGAGGACAATTTTTCAACCCGAGAAATAGTGGGCTTTTTATTCTTTTTTTTCCCCTTTGACCGACAATTGTGCATGACTACTCCGTATTTCCTGGGCGGTGGTCTCTCGATCGCGGTTCGTCTCAGCGGCTATTCGCACAAGCTTGCCCCAGTCCAATCCAATCAAACGGTCGTCAATACCTTTGAACGGGCCAGCTCAACTACATAAAAACGGTCGCGATTGGCCAAATGCGCAGTATCACACTTCAGTGCAGCGAGTTTAGTTCATCATGACGGATCCCCTGTACGAACTTCTCGTCCCCTATTTTGACCGCGACGATGCCTCCAAATGCCCGCCTCCTCCCTCGACCGACGCCACCACCTCCAAGTACCTAAGCCGCTTGTCTACACTATCCCTCTTGTCATTGAACTCAACGGAGCTTCAGTCCCTTTCTCAGTCTTCTCACTCGAGCCTGGTCTCGCTTCAAGCGCTCGCCAATCGCTCTCACAAGACATTTATTGCCTCCGCGGATCATCTATCCTCTCTCCGAACTTCCCTGCCAAACCTTGCAGAAGACACCGCGAAACTACGAGATGCCATACCAAAGCTTGACGAGGAAGCCGTTCGCTTTTCCTCCAGATATAGTAAAAGCGCGGAGAATCAGATCCTGGATAGAAGGAGGAAGGCAATGCAGCTGGCTGGCAATGTGGATCGATTGTCAGATATCTTGGAGTTGCCTACACTGCTTTCTACAGCGGTCTCCTCGTCTTCGATTAATGCCGGTGCGGCGGGCAATGCGGCTGCCGGGACCAGCTATTCGTCAGCCCTGGATTTGTTTGCACACATAAAGCGCCTCCAGACCCTGTATCCTGACTCTCCATTGGTAAGGGACATCTCTCGCCAGGCAGAGGATGCAATGAGAGACATGGCGAGCAATTTAATTGCGAGCCTTAGAGTACAGAATATAAGGTTGGCTGCAGCGATGAGGACAGTTGGCTGGCTTCGTCGTGTGGCTCCGGAACTTGAGCATCCAGCTGGGCAGGGCAAAGATTCTACGCACAACGAAGGGGCGTTTGGCGCACTATTTCTTGTGTGCCGGTTGGCAAATTTACTGAAGATGCTTGACGCTCTGGAACCGTTGCGCGAGCTTGCAGACCAAGAGAAAGCCAAACGACTACAGCAGAATGAAAGGCAAAGTGAGAAGTCTAACGGCACCAGAAACTCGTGGTCTGGGGGGCACCAAACAGAGCGTTTTCTCAAGCGGTATATCGAGATATTCAGAGAACAGAGCTTTGCCATTGTCTCTTTGTACAGGAACATCTTTGCTCCAGCGCCTACTGAATCAGACTTGGCGGCTGCTTCGATCCCGGGCCTTGATCTTCGAAAGCTCACTCTTGACGGAGTGGAATCAAACCCGAAGACACTGGGCAGAACGGAAGACCCGCTGTGCCGTCTACCCCCCGCATTAGCAACCTTCCCAATGCATCTTGCGCAACTTCTCATGGCCACCTTGAACGCCTATCTTCCCAACATTCGGGACAAGGGGTCGCGGGAGAGTCTGCTTACCCAGGTGCTGTATTGCGCTGCAAGTCTGGGACGTTTGGGTGGAGATTTCAGCATGATCCTATCGTTCTTGGAAGAAGAGGAATCTGAGGAGGGAGGCGAGGACCTCGACCAAGGTACAGACACGGTTCCTGAATGGGAGAAGGTCATGAAGCAGCACCGTGTGCTGGCGGAGCGACTTGACTCTCTCACCGCTGGCAGGAGTGAGGGTGAAGGGAAACGTGTACATAGACAAGCTACACCAACACAGGGTTAATTGAATCTGTGAATACTCCGTAGACATGCTCAATACTCCGTACTCCAACCTCCATCCCTCTGTAGAGACCAATCTTGGGCTGTTGTATGGTCCATCCCGTCCGCCTCCCAGCTACTCCTGGCAGCCACTAAGCGGCTTGGTGCTGCAGCTGAAACCTGATCCAGCGCCTTTCCCAATTCGGTTTAACCTTCGCGTGGTCCAATCTCGGAATGAACTCCGCCACTAAACCGGATTTGGATTAGTTTCCCCGGAAGCGTCAAGGAGCGAGACAATGCCAAGTTCTGATTGGCTGGGGCCCCGGCATCGTCACTCTCCGCGCTTTCTTCCCCCCGAAGTGGGCTCTTTGTCCGCCATGCCACGATATCGCCGCTCACGCTGGACCGCTACGCTGTTTGCTTTCAATGGTTTGGGCGTGCTCCAGTTCCCCGGAGGATGTGTATGTTCCACAGCCTTCACCACATTTACCTTATTCCTCGTATGATCAACTAGCCCTCTCCTGACCTGTCGATTGATACCAGCCTACACTCTGAAAGCTCCCGTATTTTTTGATGTCCTCTGCCGTGATGATTTGACTTGCACTTACGTTCGTTCTATTATCAACAGTAACAGTTTCCTGAGCTCACCCAATGGCCGCTCCATTTGTCCCTACAGCCCCCAATCTTGCCGGCGGGCTGATTGACCCAACAAAACAAGCTGAATACCCAATCCTCCTTGGAGATAAGCTGGCTGGAAAGCCGTCTTCGACGGATACCCAATTCATCAATATAGCTTACAACTACAAGCCTAAAGGCGCTACACCGCGGCAGAAGACGACGATCACATCCACCGATACACCAGATATTTACAAGCTGACTATACAAGATAAAGCTGGTAATGCAGAACGGTCAGATCTGACGTACATTTACCATGGCGGTGTTGATCCCATATCCTCGGTGCCCGAGTCGGAATCGAGCAATTTGGTGCTGGTTTTCGATCCGAAACGGAAGGCATTTATTCTCGAGCCGGTCTCGACGAAGGTGAATTTTAACCTACGCTCCGCACCGGGAAAAACAGAAAAACAAGTTTTGGACCAATATGGCCAGCTTGAGGTTTTACCAAAGAATGAAGGGATTTCGGGAGATGACGGAGACGGGAACAAGGACGATGACGATACACTGGAGGTGGCCGATGAGGACAATCCTTATGACTACAGACATTTTCTTCCCAAGAAAGAGGCCAAGAGCGAAAGGAGGGCCGAAGTGCCTTCGCCTGAAACCACTCCTGATCCCGTTTCGGAGAAGCATTCAACATGCCCTGCAACGCCATCTGTGTCTTCCGTGAAGGCCAATCCGAGGCCTCTCCCGAAAACTAAGCCGCAGACCAGTCCACTACGACCTCAGATAAAACGAGTCACTAAATCAGCTGTGGCCAAAGCTGGAGGCCCAGCCAAGGCTAAATCTAAACCAACCCCCCGCGTTGATGCCGGCAATCTTGTCAATGAATCGCCTCCGCCAGAAGAAGAACCCAAATCAGCATCACCCACCGCACCTACAGCGCCTAACAGCAATATAGTAGTTGATGGAGATCTGATAATTGACTGGGGTTCTCCTCCTCCAGAGCGACCGAAGATCAAGCTGAATCCTCGCGATTTCGCTTCGGGCAATACGTCCGCCAATGAGGGAGGTTATGGCAGTGGCAACAATGAAGGTGATGAAGATATTCGTTCGCCATCCCCACCGAGACTCGCCGTTAGCCGAGCATGGCAAAAGCGCCCTCCGCAACAACAGGACGAAGAGGATGAGGAAGAGGAGGAAGAAGAAGTGAGCGATGAGGATGATAATGAAAGTGAACAGGAAGCAAACGATGATGAGCCTGACGATGATGGCCTAGAAGCTGAAATGGAGGCAGCATTTGTGCGGGAGCAAGAGGAAGAAGAGAGAGCCAGAAACTTACTATTACAGCAGCAGCAGCAGCAGCAACAGCACCATATCGTCAGTGACGAAGAGAGCGAAGTTAGCGAAGAAGAGTAAGCATACCTGAGGTTATGGGATCCCTTCCTTGGCAGCAGGTCAGTTTTCTTGGAGTGTGATGGAATTCTACAAAGGATTATATGTTGATGATTTTTATGCGACAAATACCCTGGTTGGTTCAATAAATCTTGTATGTATGATAGCGTTGGGCAATTAACGACAATATATGACTCTTCAAAGCTCCGGTATTCCCTGCAGATGGCTTTTCAAGTCGTAGACCAACGGCCATAACAGAGCACGCAGCGTCAATTACCTACGAGGTCGGACCGGCCATTGATCGGGGTGGAATATCTATGCTCCGAACTGCCGCTGCGCGCCGTCCTCACTTCTCATCCTTCTGCATGACTCTGTCTGCCCGGCTTCAAGCTTATAACGCTCCCTGGGCTATCGTTTTAGGCCTCTTTGGTCACTGTCCCACATTATATACGTTATTGCCACCAGTATTTTACGTCTGAGTGCCCCTTATTTTCCATCGTCCGGGTGTGTTGAGGCGCGGATGCGCTCCCCGTTTCGTGTTCATGACATCAGACATTTCCTGAATGTCTTTGTTGCACCCGTGTGCGAGGGGAGGAATATAAATAATTAAGGGTTTGTGTGGATTGTGCCCCAGCCGTATGCAGACCATTATTTCTTGCATCTCTACAACTCACCGATAGCCCGAAGCCCGCAAGAGCCTCTACCCTTGCAAACGCGTCAACCGAGGAGATATTGGCATTGCGAGTCTGTCCTCCTTCAATAGCGGAGGTAGAAACAAAAATGCCTTCGATCTCATCAAATAAAAAATCTTCCACTCCTCCGGTCCCTTCGCCCTCGAATCCGGTTCTCCTAGCTACCCAGTCTCAATGGCTCTTCACAGACTCAGAACTCCTCCGGTCGCCGTCAGTTCTGGACGGCATGCCGATCGAATCAGAGCATACCAGTCGGGGGAAGGGTGTCAACTTTATTATGCAAGTCGGCATTCTACTAAAGCTTCCGCAGCTCACACTCTGCACGGCCAGTGTGTACCTTCATAGGTTTTTCATGCGATACAGTATGGTGGATCTGCCACAACGGCCAGGAATGCACCCTTACTCTATCGCCGCCACAGCTCTTTTTCTGGCGACAAAGGTGGAGGAGAATTGCCGCAAGATGCGGGAATTGATAATTGCTTGTTGTCGGGTGGCGCTGAAGCAGCCGAATGTCGTGGTGGACGAGCAGTCAAAAGAATTCTGGAAATGGAGAGACACGATCCTGCACAACGAAGACCTTCTCTTGGAAGCCTTATGTTTTGATCTTCAGCTCGAGCAGCCGTACCGACTTCTTTATGACTTCCTGTGCTATTTGCACCAGCATGACAACAAGCCACTGCGAAATTCTGCCTGGGCATTTATCAACGATTCCATTTTTACTGTCTTGTGCTTGCAATTCACCTCCCGGACAATAGCGGCGAGTGCCCTGTATGCCGCGGCCAGACACTGCGACGTCTCCTTTGATGACGATATTCTTGGCCGTCCTTGGTGGGAACAATTGGATGTTGAGCTAAGAGATTTGAAGCGAGCGTGCAACAGAATGGCAGAGTTGTACGAAAGATCTCCGCTTCCCAAGCCTGGACAAAGGTATCCTTCTATCCCGGGAAATGAAGGGGACTCAACCGACAAAACGAGACATGTTATCTCTAGAGGGAATGAAAATGGCACAGAAGACGGTTACACAGATGAACGAAACGGATCTCTATCCCCTGGGGAGATTAGTGAACGAAAGCGAAGCCGCGAGGCCGACAATCTACCCTCTCCAAAACAAAATCCTCTCCAGCATACGCACAGCGTCTCTACTAATGGAAGACTGAATCAAGAGCAAGAACAACGATCTCTAAAACGCCAGCGTCTTGATGATAACCAAACGACAGCTCCGAACTTTAGAAGCCCCCTTACCCATTCTCAAACACAATCGCAATTCGATTCACAGCCTAAATCAAACCAATCCTCCCAACCGTCCCTTACTAACGCGACATCTACCCTTCATATCTCCTCAAACAACAACTCTACGTCTCCTGAGACGGCAACACCAACATCTACCACAAATCCACCTCAACCCGAGACCACAAATTTAAATGGAAATTCCAATCCAGAGCATAGAGCCCCTCCTCCAACTTCCCTATCCGCTCCCACCACACCGAACGATAAACCGCAATCGTCACGCATACCGGCCAGTTATCAGCGTAAGAAGGAAGCAGCGTCGCCTCGGCCACCGGGTAATATCCCTCCCAAACCGCCACTGGACTAGTAGAAAAAGGAAGGAATATTAAAGGGGGATTTTATAAGATATATCTATGGAACTGGATGAAAATATGAATAATCTAGGGATGGGAAATTATTGTCTCTCTTCATTCTAATGAACACTCTTATGTCCTTCAGTCAATCTACGTATTGAAATATGGCACCGTGGTTCGCAAGGCCGGTGCATGGTGGCTCCCGAACTTCCTCCTCGGGATGTCCGAATAGAAATCAACCAAATGGGAATAGAAAATCCATCTTTCGAATTACCCTTAAATGACCTTGGTCTGGAAAGTATCCCAAAAGTATCTTGTCAGGTTTAGGCAATCAACGCGAGTTATCATTCCCTATAGCATGCAAACGCAAAAAGACACATTCCTCACGTGGTAAAAGCCAGTTTTATCTGGCCATAAGCATTGCTTTTTGTTCTTTTCCCGTCCCGCTAAAAATAAAAAGTTGCATGGTGGGGATTTCAAATCACCGCTCCAACGCCAGCGCAATATTTATACAGGACTCCGTTCTCCAAAAATACAAAAGTATAGTAAAAAAGCGAGATGCTCCATATCATAGACACCGCATAAATGAGACAGAGAGGAGATAGTTGAAAAAAAATCGCTGGAATATTAAAATGCTGCCGTAAAGGGAGGAGAAAACCAGAGAAGGGAGAAATAACAAAAGGGGAATTAAAATAGAAACGGGAACATGCTTCCGGTGATATCATTTGTTTGGTGATTGCGCCACGCTATTCCGGAGAACAAAGCAAAGAACATCGACCACCAACGCCGCGAAAGCTGTATGATAATACATGGTACATACCACCCAAGGACAAGGACGCTGAGGAAAAAGCATTATCAATAATACATCGTGAAAAAATAACGAAAATTAAAGATCGTACAGATTCGTCGAATATGGAAGATGCGTAAAATATTAGTCCCATTTCAGAGAACATCGAAAGACATTATCTTAGATGTCTGCAAAAATGGCGTCCAGCTCGTGGATTTCCACAGCTTCAGGACTCTGGAGATCAAGCCAAGAATCTAGCGCCGCGTCGATGTGAAGGCCAAACCCAGCATCGATCATCTCCAACGACCGCTTGCAGCCAGAGACGCCCTTTGTTTTGCCGGGAGATAAGATAGGCTCAAGAGAGACAACGGGACTCATAGCAGCACAATCGTCGACTGCAGCTTCTGAGGCCGTGCTTGAAACCGATGATAAGGAAGATAGTTCGGACGATATAGATGGGGAAGGTGATGTGCCTAGAACTTGTGCATCTGCGGCATCAACATGGTCTTCGCTTCGGATGAGGTGCGAGGGAAAGTATCCATATTCGTGGGTTTGAGGGTGGGAGTCGTGGGAAACGAAACAATCATCCATGTTCACCTCGTCCCGCGACACATCGCCTTCAGCGCCTCCTTCAGAAGCAGAACTGTCCTTTTGTTTTGCCGCTGAGTCTTCTGCCGAGGTCCTCTCCCGAACAGAACTTGCGGTCAAGGTGAACTCCTTCTCGTCGCCCTCCAAAGGCGGTGAAACTGCACGACTACTATGCGAAATGCGATAATTGTGGGCCATCCTGCTGCGCACTGAATAGCTACCTGTCGGGGTTGGCGGTCTTCCAGGGGTAGAGTGCTCAACTGACAAGCCAGTCTCCTCATGTTCGAACGCGGGGCTTGACAAATCAACCTCAGGGCTTGGGCTCATACGCGCTCTTTCCAAGGCCTCATCTGAATCGTCAAGGTCGATGCTTGCATTAGACAAACTTGGTGTGATTTGTTTTGTGGCCGCGGGAGGCGAAATAATATCGCTCGAGTCCTCTGGCAATGGCTGAGGGGTTGAGTTCGTCAGATAGAAGAAAACCTTCCGTGGGTGAACGGGTATTTGCTCTTTGGCAATCGGGCAAGGAGCGAGCGCGGTCCAGGGCCGTTTTAGGTACAAACTCAGCCGAGATGAGATCAAAGCTGCTGCATTTGCCGAGCTACAAGGGGTTAGCAAGATTCGCATAATCAAAGATCAGAAAGATAACTCACTTTGCAATAGTGTCGTTAATGGACGACAGGACTGTCGCGAGTTCTTTAATCAGATGAGGCCTGTTTCCCGTCTTCTCGAGTTGCTCAATAACAGCGACAATAATGTCATCGTTTATTCCCTCGGTATTGATCTTCGCCACGATTCCGGTATCAGCCGGAGAGGGTGGTGGCGTGTGGCCGTAGGCAGCAGCCAGCCTTTCGCTCCTCCCATCAAGCGATATTTGGCCATTCGAAGATGTGCCCGACGGGCTTTGCGATTCGGAGTCGTGTGATCTCTTGACCTTTTTCGAAGGTGGCTGATTTTCGGTGGTGGCTGGAATTTTGGACGCGGATGAGGATCGATTGGAACGGGATGCGTTAGGGAGGTGGATGCCGAGTGAGGGTAAGGAGAGGGATTTTCGGCGTGTATTGTAAGGCATGGTGAGATGATTATGAGCCGATGAATCCGGTGTTGAAGATGGGAAAGAAAGGGGAGCGAAGGGGTATTTGCTATGTTTGAAAGGGGATGTTTGGGGCACTTAAGGGGGGGAGGATAAACCAAAGATGAAAAAAAAAATAAGGACAAAGGAATGCGATCCAGCAAAAAAAAAAAAAAAAAAGGAAAAGTTGTCTGGGAAGGATCGGTGCTTTGGCTTGCTTGTAGGTTTCACTCAGGAGATTATGGGCCGTTTCATGTCGGTCTGATTGGATATTTTTATGGGCAGTGTGGATCGGGGTGCATCGTGAGAAGAAGTCGAAGCGCACTAGAAAAAGCAGCTCTCCACTTTGCAGAAACGACGAACGTAACAGGGGATTTTCAAGTTTAGTGGTCGTGGGTGGTGGTGGCGCTTGGTGGTGCTTGAACCTTGTCCGTCCCAATCACATCGCATGGTACATGACCCAGCTGAGCAACAGCTGAGTTTTTTTTGGGGGAGCCGTGCGTAGGAAAATGTCACACCGTTTTGTGCGGCGAAAAGCAAGGGCAAGCTGCAAGGTTGGCTGAACCAACGCGGGCAAACACGTTCATTCCTCGGGCTCATCAAATAAGATTCTCCCACGAAAGAAACAAGAAATGCTATTTGAGATAAACCTCACGGAACAGTGGGCGACGGCCGTGTGGAAGTTCTTCTCCGACCAGGCAGCTGGGTAAAGCTTGAGCCTGCCACTTACCATTGAAATGTCAAATCTTTTCGGAGACGCGAAGGCAAAAGACGCATCGATGACGGAGGGTCCGGGTTGACGGAGCAACCAGCGTGGAAAGCAGGCACCAATATCCTCGTTCTTCAGATTCGTTCAATTCATTTCGCTGTGGGGGACGTTGAACTCTCGACCGTGCAAACGGAGCACGGAGGCTCAGAAATTATTCCCATCCTCGTACATAAGAGATGCAGGGAAGGCAGAAATGCTACATTCACCGCCCATAGCTGCTTCATATTAAGGCCCCTCATATCCCTGCTAGGGCAGCCATTAGTGCATGCGGATTAATCGAGCTGTGGCCAACCGGATCAGATTATCCACTCAGACGGCATCCAGGCCCTGCGCAGCACACTCCGCCAGAGCGCACAAAAGCGCTGCTCGTGGTCAACTTTGCACTTCCCCACCAAGAGAGGATCCGTCTCTTCTCCGCAGTCTCGATGCGGTGTATCCTGACATCCAGAGATACATGTACTCTGTATCAAGAACAGCTCTTCTAGGTGCAATAACGACAAGTTGCGGGATACTGAGTTTCTGGCTGGGGGCTCCTGTGTCAAGCCGGTTTGTGTGGATCCATGAGCAAAGTTTGAAGGTCGACCAATATCACCGGGAGACTGCAGAGTTCCCCGACAAAAAAGAAAATTCAAAAAAAAAAAAAAGAAAATAATTAAAAAGGTCGAGGCTGTTGGTAGAGGGGCAAATCAGGTTTCCGCTTTTTAGTAATCCGGAGAAACATCCTGTTACGGGACAAAAGCACCGTCTTTGGATAACCCATGCATTCATATTATCCACCTGGGGCTTGATGGGCGTCTTGTTTCTTTTGTGCGGAGTGCCCTCAAATCCTCAAAGCTTCGTATTCGAGCGTACGAGTAAAATGACATATCAACTGGGATTCTCTCGGACTTGAACAGACCGGACCAAGGCAAACAGAGGCTAACTAGATCTATCACCGACGATTGGGCAGTCAGCACCCCTTCATGATGTATGCATACTCCGTATCGTGTTTGATGAGGGAGACACGATGCAGCAAGACGTACTCCGTACTAGTTCTTTATTTTCCTTAGTTACCGGGCTTGCCGGTAAACGCCCCCGGCCTGACTCTCGGCAGAATCTGTATTCTCGAAATCTTGCGCTTGAGATGCGGTCTCGATGTCCTAAGGCATGATGGTGGATTGGCGGGAGGATATGATGGGAGTGTGATGGAGATCTCGGGTGATCTTCGGCCTCGAACACACGACACCGAGCCACTGAGCCAACCAGAGAGATCGCCGCGGTCTGGCTTTTCCGGCCGTGGCGAGCGAGGGCGAAAGCCCGCATGCGGTGTGGCCTGCAGCAGAGAGAGGCAGACGTGAGAGGTGAAGCGAAGAGCAGATGATTACTTTTCCCCATCAGGATAACACACCCCATCAATCGCGCGTCTTGGAAGTACCGGTACCTCCTCGTGCTGTCCATCCCTGGAGTATAACGAGGTACTGTACAACCCCGTCATCGCCATGCATGCACATCATGAATCATCATTGTATGCAAGGATGTGCGTTTTCTTTGAGAGCCGACCTGCAGCCAGCATTGGCCGGGTTAATAATGCGCCTGATGCCTCAGCGATCAGAGGTTGTCTCCCCCTCCACAGCAATGTGCATCAGCGACCTGTGGAAAAATCGCCCAGCCATCACTCCAAGAAAAGGCTGGTGGACCTGAAAATCAGCAAACCGCGTGAGGGAAGCTTTTGAACCACCGCCCTATCTTATATTGCGGAAAATATGCGGGGCACATTCCGAGTCGACTTCCTTGGTAAGCACTTTCGATCTCTCTGCGTTCCATCTCATTCAGAATGCAACAGCGTAACGAGCAGATGAAAGGAAGATGATCCTTTCCGTTTCTCTCCAGAGACAATATCAGCGCACCGTTGGTGATCCCTCCAAACCTCCATCTCTTGGACCTCGCGCTCGAGTTCGGATATTGACCGTGGTTTCCACCCATAGTCGAACCGGAGTCCGGTGTAGATCAGATATGACAACCGTTTTTGCACCGATTTGGAATGCCAGTTGGGATACCGAGTTCGTCGTCCAAACCACCATCCAGACTCCTTGCCATACGGGGTACCCAGAACTTGCTAGGCAATTAAAGAATGGGTTGCAACCGCAACTCTGCCTGGCGGGTATCTCTGGGGTCCGTATCCGATCTCGTTTCAAGTGAACCTCAGCGAAGTGGATTTATCCGACGGCGGTCACTCCACCCGGGTGCGGTATTATTTGGCGGATTCCCTGGAAATTTAGCCCATATTCTCCCACGACGAGATGCCGGGTTACGATGAAATGTTAAGAAGATCTATGGGAGGTATATCTCCTAAATAATGACGACTGTTCTCCTACCAAGCCAGCCGAACAAGATTACCGTTCCTGGTGTGACCTGGAGTTTATCGTTGAATTTGCAAGGCAAGGCAAGGCTGCACCCCCAAGCTCCTTGCGAGTTATTTATAGTCTTGTTCCCTTGGAGGTTTCCTTTCCCGCTTTGATTGCGATAGAACGAGCACCAGGCCGCAACCAAGAAACTTTTGGTGATCTATCATCCCATAAGAGACGCCAGGCTCGGTTTGGCTTTCTTAAAACAATTTCGTACGTATTTTATTTATTTTTTCTTTTTTGGCCTAGCAAGTAAGAATTGCAAGCAAACTGGAGGTCCTATGGCACCGTGATTTGTTTCTTCAAACTTCCTACCTAGTCCTTCTGGGAGCGCGACCAGCATTCATGATAGCTAAATGCATACAGTATTGCAAGTGATGGTGAACTTCATGGATTCGATGCTAAATTGATTTCTCTGAACGAGGTACTATAACCCTTTCATTGATACCATCACCGGGAAATATCTTGTCGTCGGAAATTCAGGGCTCAATTAAGGCAAAATTCCTTCCGGGGTGTCATATATACCGTACTTGCGACCTTGTGTGGTGAACTGCTTCTGATATCGGGTTGACAGTGTACAGATCTTATCGGGTTTGCGGGAACCTGTTAATATATTGATTACAAGTCATGTCATCTAGAAACGAGATACTATGCGCATATATCAAAACAAAATACATATCTACTTCGATCTGTAGAATGCGGGACAAGGGAGATAAGATGCAGGGGTCGACGGAGAATGCATACTTTGTGCAATGCAAGCCAAACTAATGCCGCAGGGTTGTTGTTATGCAAGAAACCCCCCGAAATACCAACAATTCCATGCCGCAGCTTACAGAAAGGTTGCAATTAACATCTCCAGAGCTTCGCTCTCTGTCATGATTGAAATAAAATGGATGGAACTACATGCTGGTACAGAGTATTGTAGCCATACCTAAGTCTCTCGAATCAAAGGGGTATAGAAATGCACAACGCCTATATGCTTGTCTACGCTCATAATCATACATGTATCTCTATAGTGTACAAGTTGCAATCCACAGCAATATCATGACTGCTTCTGAAGCCAAAAGAGCAAATTGCCGCTCGCTGCAGCTTTGTCCTTAGTCCTGGTTTTGTATATCTGTTTCTTTATCCGCGCGCTCGGTCTCCTTTTTCGGCCGCAAAACGTATTTCCAAGTCGTGCCTAGATGCCATCTCTTAGACTCCACGACTTCAAGTCCACTCTGCTCAACAATTCTCCCAATGTCTCTATTCCACCAGCATCCATGCTGATCTGCGTGTGCGGGAGCAAGATCATCGAGTAACTTATTCAACCAACCATAGTATGACCGACCGTGTTCCAATAGAAGAATCTGCCCCTTTTCTGGCTCGGTTAATTCCCCAAGATGCTTTAAAAACGCCACAGGGTCGGCTGTCGAACAGAGCCCCATCGTTTCGATGACCGTATCGAATTTTGGCTCCTTCATCCCAACCGGTATCTTTATTGTCGTTCCCGGAGGAGGAGAAATAGGTTCCATCGCATCCTGCGCCCGGAAAGCAACCTGCTTAAACGCTGGGTACTTCTTCTCAAACTTCTCCCGCGCAACTTGAACCATTTCACCGCTCTGGTCCACAAACGTGACCGATCTGCAACCTCGAATCGCTGCCTTCCCTTGCTCATCCACTGCTCTCTTCTCGCCCAGCGTGTAGTAGTCAAAATTCCGACCTGTCCCGCAACTGACTTCCAACACATTCCCTCTTGCCATTTGAATTAGTTCTCTCCTCCGTTTTCCCAGTCGCATAAGCATCTCTGCCGTCTCCACTTCTGCATCATATGTTCGCGCGGATTGATCGTAACGATCTGAGAGGTCGTGGGGTACATCAAGTGATTTCGCCGCCTCGACAGCTTTTTTATAGCTCACGAATAGGTAGGTGCCATAAGTTGAAAACGCGAAGACCGCAACAGCGGCCAGGGTGAGCATTTTGGGGCGCACGGACCGCGCAGATGGCAGCTCCGAGGATTGCGCGGCCGTCGGAGGCGGAAGAGGCGATTTCTTTTGCGCAGCCCTAGCGCTTCCAGTTGTGTCAGCTGTAGTTGAAACTCGCGTAGAAGAGACAACAGCAGATACTAGGCCGATGGGGATCCCAATGGATTTTTCTCGAAGGCAGGTGACTGGAATAGTCGCCCTTTATCGACAAATTCACCAAGGGGAAAACAAAATAAAAAGGAGATCATATCTGACGGGTCATACCGGCGCCAACTTCCAACGCTCGGGGACAATAAGGACTGAGAATCTTTCATCATTCTCACACTAACCTCCGTGGTGATGCCGCATGGAGCGGGTCAAACAGTGATTTGCGTCCCATCGCATGGCCAATGTGTTTCGAACTAGCCTTGCCCAATAAATGCTTTGTGCCTGCTGGTGGCATGGTCTCTATAAACTAGTGTTATTGGACACGTGCAGAAACCTCAGGTCAACGAATTAGCCGTTCGGATAAGAGCGCCTCTTTGGTGGAGTAATAAAGACAGGGACGGGTTTAAAAATCGTTCACCGGGCGATATTCCTTTTTGTCGTCGTTGTCGAGTGAAGAGCCGGAGAATCAAAGAATCACGAAGCGAGTGACAAGCTCGAAGCCGCGAAAAAGCGATCGAAAAACACCAGAGTGTGTGGCAGCAGAGATTGTTCTGGCAGAGTTGGTCAACTCGCTGCCTGAGTGTGGTCAAATTCTCAAGTTGTGCATCGCGCTTTTTGGGGGGAGATCCCGGCCTTTGGAGCTAGTTAACTAAGGGCGAACCCTGCATCTTTGCTCGATCCTTGTTGCAACTCTCTGCAGCTCCACCGAGCTCACGGGGACTTTCGAGGGCGAATCTGTCGTCGTGATGAATTTCATTGATCCGGTGAATCCTGCTCTTGAGTCTATTCGAGCTCACTGCGCCTTTCGAGCATAGCAGCGATCCCGGCACTATGCGCCAAACAAACGACCAGCCCGAAGCATCCCCACTTTCTCGGTGCTGGCGGCGGCGGCGGCGGCCTCGTTATCGCGCAAGGTGCGCAGCCGAGATAAGCATGCCACCGCTTTGCTTAAACGAGCTTATAACCGCACTTTCGGACAGACACACACAAGCCGGAGTCCGATTGCGAGAAATTGGCATTGATATCGAAAAGATATGGCAGCCACACCACTACCAGAATCTATTCTCATCGTCGGCGGCGGCGTCTTCGGCTGTATGTCATTTTACCCGAAGAAAGGTCCAACCAAGAGTTCAAAAGCGCTAACAACTAACTCCGCTCATTGCCAGTATCGACCGCCCTCGCCCTTTCTCGTCGTCACTCTGGCAAAATCACCCTCGTCGAATCGTCTCCCACAATTCCTAATCCTCACGGCTCCTCCGTCGATGCGTCCCGTATCATCCGCGCGGACTACGCCAATGATGCCTACGCCCGTCTCGCGACGGCTGCAATTGAGCAATGGCGAACCACTGAATGGGGCCACGAGGGCAGATATAACCGCAATGGCCTGGTTTTGGTCTCCTCCGGCAGTGCTGAGACAGGTGCGTACGTGAGAAGCAGTTACGAGAACGTCAAGGCCCTAGACAAGAGCGGAAAGGAAGTTGAGCTCTTGCCGACCAAGGAAGACGTGGAGAGTGTGGTTCCAGGCTATGGCACGGGCAACAACGTTGCCGGTGGATACGTCAACTGGGGTTCCGGCTGGGGTGACGCAGAAGCATCGGTGCGATTCGCAAAGCAGCTTCTCGACGAGACAGGGAGGGTCGAATTCAAGACCGGAAACGTCAAACGTCTACTCTCGATTCCCGACCAAGGCAGCAAGCGGAAAGTCACCGGTGTCGAACTCTCGGACTGCACTACGATCTCTGCAGACCTCGTCATCCTCGCTGCTGGTGCATGGACAGGTCAACTCGTCGACCTGCGCGGCCGAGCGGATGCCACAGGCCAGGTGCTCGCCTACATCCAGATAACCGACGAAGAACAAGCCCGGCTCGCGAACATGCCCACGATCCTCAATTTCTCCACGGGAATGTTCATCATCCCACCACGCAACAACCTTCTCAAGGTCGCCCGGCACGCCTACGGCTACCGAAACCCCAAATCCGTCCCAGACCCATCAGGTGGTAACGGAACCATCGAGCCCAGTCTTCCTGAAAACGGTGTTCCCATCCCCCCAGAAGGCGAACAAGCCTGCAGAACCGCTCTCCAGGAGATGCTTCCCGCGTTCGCAGACAGACCGTTTGTCAAAACACGAATATGTTGGTACTCAGACACGTGCGTATAACCCTTGCTAACATCGAATCATATCACACACATAAAAGAGAGAAAAAAAAAAAAAAAAAAAAAAAAAAGGGAAAGAAAGAAAGAAAGAAAGACAACTCAGGAAAAAGAAGAAAAGGTATTTTCTAACACATTCCAATACCCAAACAGTCCCAAAGGTGACTTCTTGATCACCCACCACCCCACCTACACCTCTCTCTTCCTCGCAACCGGCGGAAGCGGACATGGATTCAAATTCCTCCCTGTGATCGGAGATAAAGTCGTCGACGCCCTCGAAGGAAAACTCGATCCCGAACTAAAACAGCTCTGGTCCTGGCCGGAACAGCTCGCCGTCGCCAATGGTGAGATCCCAGTCGTCTGGACAGAGGACGGAAGCCGATCTGGCCCGAAAGGAATGATACTGGCAGAGGAGCTTGCGAAGAATAACAAGAGGATGGGGAGTAAGCTTTAAGGCCTTCGACTTGCTCCATAGATATATACATCTTCAATATTGCCCTCCCCAAGCGTAAGTCATATAAGTTCATCTTTTACCGATCTAGCGAATAGCGTTATACTTAGGGATACGTATACATGTGAAGACACAAAGAAAGCCTGCTTCTTTTTTTTTTTCCTTCGATATTTTTCATTTTTATTACTACCTAGTAGGTATGATACATTCTTTCCACTGCACGACGTGAAGTAATCTGCGAGTTCGTGTGTGTATGCAACTCCTGTCCACTCCAGGCCTCTTGAGTCAAAGTGAGAGCTGGGATCAAACCACTCCACAATGCAAACTCATGAAAATAAGAATTAAGAGCTTTCCGACAAACAAGCTCCTGCGTCAGCAAATAAGAGAAAAAGGTTCGTAGAAAATACCACCATTCCCCCGTATACGCCGATGAAAACCCATCCCAAACCAGCGGAAGACCCCGCGATTTGTCTAATTTAAACAAGCTGATGGCAAAAAGGAAACGAGATACGCCGCTTTTTCTCTTTTTTTTGGAAATCCGAATCCAGCAAGTACACGGAGCGGGAAAAAAAAAAAAGTCGCTAAAACGCCATGAAATGCAGGTAAGACAGCTAAAAAAAGGGAAAAGATTGATGGGGGATTAAAAGAATAACTCCACCCGTCAAGGATCACTTGAGTGACAACGAATAGCGCGGAAAGCAATCGCAATGTCAGGAGAAAATATGTTAATACACTGAGACAGAAGCACAGTATGGGCACTTCATGCTCAAAGGAAGCATTAAACCTTACGGAAGTCTAGAGTCCGGGGTTAGCTGAGGCAATTCAGATAAACTTCTTTCTTGGAAGGGGAGACGTTACCAGTTAGCACAGGGTAGATCATTTCAAAGGCTTGGTAGATTTCTTCTCGAACTTTTGCGCCAGTCAATACGATCTTCCCGCTAACGAAGATGAGAAGCACGATCTTTGGCTTCATCATACGGTAGATAAGACCAGGGAACAGTTCTGGCTCGTAAGAGCTGAAGTTGTGATGACGACTTGCAAGACCTTCCAAACGGATAGGGAACTTGATGTCACACGACCCGACAATGTTTTGGATCTTAAAATCAGTGAATTTGGCATTGAAGCCGAGTTTTTGGATAATGCGAGCGTATTTTCTCGACGCCAGTTTTGAGTCATCTTCGGACTTAGCTCCGGTAACAACCATCTTGCCAGAGGCGAAGATCAGGGCCGTGGTCTTGGGCTCGCGAATACGCATGATGACGGCAGCGAAACGCTATTTAAAAAAAAGGCAAGTTCTGCTTAGCACAAATGGCCAGATACTTGAAGCAAGAGCCAAGAGAAAAAAAGAGAGGCGCATGTCAGTACCTTTGGATTGTACTCTGCGTTTCGCGCATGCAGTGCGATGGTTTTCAAGTCCAAGCGACAGTCCAGATTGACCGTTGCGACAATGTTTCTTTAAGGAAAAAAAAATGACACATTGTGTTCAGCATTCTGGTGATCCAGAAAGGACAGTGGTTCAATACTCACTGCAACGTTGGCACAATGCCGCTCACGCCGGGCCCAGCTCCAGGGGTAGCAACAGGAGTCGCAGGAGCGGCACCGTTTGCGCCCTGCTGGCTGTTTGCCTGGCCGCTGTTCATCCCATTTTGGTCTTTTTCGGAGGAAGGCGGGGTGAGATCGCCGGCACCTCCTGGGAACGACAAGGATGCGGGGGACGTGAATGCCTTTGCCTGTTGCGCGGTAGAAGGATGGGTCGTAAGGGACTCCATAGTCAACTGCTTTGTGTTGCAGAATGCAGGATTCTCAATGACCTGAGGGATGTTTGCAACAAATCTCAGATCAAAGCAATCTGTAAAACAAATGATGTTAGCAATGTTGTTCCAGCAACAACGAAAAGCTGGGGTAAATTTATAGTTGTGGGCTCAACGCGAAGCGACGGAGGTTGCCATCCACAGTGATATGCGCCAGTGAGCGGGCGCCAAGGAACACAAACATGACGAGGAGCACTTCACCACCGGCTTCACTTACCACTCTGCGGAAGATGAACAACTGAATGTCTCCTCCAAGAACTGACTGCGAGCTAAGGCAGGGGGGAGTGTTCACCACAAAAGCTTGGTCTTTAGTTCCACCTTGGTAACCAATAGCAACAACAATAGCGCGATGTCAGTAATATCCTTGGTATTTCTTTTGCGATGCACTGGACGTTGAAGAGACTCCGCCAGTAAGCCTCCGGGTCAACGAGCCGAGGTTTTCTGTTGTTCTTTGCCGGTCAAGTATTGCGATCGCAGACGAGACCGAAGCGAGATGGGACAGGACGACGGTCACGGTTCCGAAAAGGGAAAGACAACGCGACAACGTCGAGCAGCAGCAAGCGCAAACCTGGATCAGAAAAGAGAGACGCGGGAACACGACGGTCGAGGGTAGCCGGCGGTGTCCCTTAGGATATCTACCGTTGGATGGAAAGAAAAGGAACGGAAGGGAAAAGAAGAAGCGAGATCAAGCAGAGCACCTGTGTACTGGAATGGGGCTCTGCGACAGCAAATAAGTATGGGTCTTTTTGAATTGATATAATTTCTTGTGATGCGACATTAAAACATTGTGTGCCTAAGAGAGCAACGAGGAGGAAAAGAATTATGACTAACAGGCAACACTAAAGTACCGTGAGTCTGGAATCGGGGTAACTATCTCCTAGCGCTTGATCCCTCCTATTTTTATTTTTTTGTCCCCCTTTTTTTTTTTCAAATGAATTTTTTATTTTTTTATTTTTTATTTTTCTCCTTCAGCAGTACACCGTATGGGTGGGATGTGCTCGGTGGTGGTGGTGGTGGTGGTGGTGACGGAAGAAGAACGCGGCGGAAGGAGAACCGGATGACGTTCCAGACGGTGCCAAGACCAGGAGGGAATCCCAAATGTGAACAGCAGGCCAGAATCTGAGGTGGGAGAGGGCCTGTTTATATATCTGTGACTCATCCCGGCTGATGTGGCCACAGCCAAGCCTTATGCCCACTATCGACACGGCCGTTGCTTTGGCTTTCTGTCCAGATTGTGGTGGAAAATCCCCCGTGCTTGGCTGTGATTGGCCCTACCGGAGCTTGCCTGCAGCGTCATCCTGGAACCGGAGCTGCTCCACCAAAGCTCTATCTTTCCCTGGCTCGTGGTTGCGCTGCATCACCAAGCGCCACCCCGGCCAATCACTGCTGCCGAAGCCTCCTTGGCCCTCTGTCTCGCCACCCCTGGCTGCGAGTTGGAAGGGCTGGCTTGAGTCAAAAACCCGCTCTCGGTGCGTGCCAATAACCCACCGCCCTTGACACTTCGTCGCCCTCTGGTCCCTTGGAGCGCAGAATTCGACAGATTGCGCGATACACTTTTTCCCCTTTCACATGGAAATTTTTTTTTTTTTTTAACGCGTTTCCAATTTTTTTTTTTTTTTCCCCCCTCATCCACCCTTCGCGCCAGGAGGCTCTTTTCGCGTCCCGCCGGGCCACACCTTGCTTTGGCCCGTTATCGCGTCCCAGCGCAGAACCTTTTTTTTGCGCGTTCCTTTTTTTTTTTTTTTTTTTTTTTTTTTTTTTTTTTTTTTTAATTCAAGATCAACTTGGGAAAGAGACACGTCTCGATTTCCCCTTTGTAGGTTCAAGGAGTCGGTCATGTCCGTCCTGCATCTCCCAAACGCTGGAACCTCGATGGGGAACGCCAATCTTTGCGCGTTTCTCACCGCCGCAAGAAAGTGAAAAAATCAAAAATAATCTACGTAGAACAAAGAAAAAAAAATAAAAATAAAAATAAAAATAAAAAGGAAAGGAAATATTGACCTGGTACAGACTGTGCAGAGTATGTGGAGAGTCACTTTGCTAAAGTTTTAATGAGCGCTGTCGCCAAAGTCCAGGTATGCATGCGCTCCGTACTCCGTGCGCGCCTGAGCTTCGGAATTTGCAGCGTAATACCGACAGCTTGATGCTGGTGTGCGGAGTTCTCTCTCTCAACAACGTCGCCGGTCGCCCGGGGTTGCCACGAGCCCAATCAAAATCGGAGGGGTTGGGCTGTCCTAACGCGACTTCTCCCCTCAACGACTGGTCTGGGCGCATTTGATATATAAATATGCAGCCTAAATTACGATGAACGGGACGCCGGAACAAGGGCCTTCTTTCGCAAACCAAAGCTGGCTGGGGCCCAAAAAAAAAAAAAACCACTGCTTGCCCCTCCCGGGGTTATGGTCGCGATTATTTTATGATTGATCGAAAATGACATGATGCGTAGTTGACCAGGGGACGAAAGAAATCACGACTTTTGGGGGCCCTTGAGCATTTGAATGTTGACCACGCACACGGAGAAGATCATCGCACGAGACCTTAAGGAAGTTTTAGGTATCCTTTACAGAACACGCGGAGTACTCCGTGTGTTCTTTGGGATGCGTGCATTATTTCCGCTTTGAGAATCATTTGTTACTCCTGCATCAATAATTCTTCTTTTCCTTTTTTTTCCCCCCTCCTAGCTACATATGCTTTGGTTCTTACTTTTCTTTTTTTGCTTTTTCTTCTTTTTTGTTGTTTGACAAGAGCTGAAGGTAACACAGAAATGCATGCGCTACATGATCATCATCCTTCCCGAAGCACACAAGAGTACTCTGTATACTTGCAGCCTACAGTGCTGTAGCCATCCTGTTCAACCACGGATGTGTCCCTCTTAATGCCAAATTCAGCCATTCCCTGCGCACTCCGTAGATACACAGCTCCCGCCGCAGCTATGTAATTCCTCGAGTCACCGTTTTTCTCTGCGAAAATTCCTCGAGCGACTGAAAGCGTCAAATCAGGACAGGCGGCATCACATGACCGACTGATTGATATCAGCTGCGCTCCCATTGGCCGGGAGCTGCCCGTCGGCTGGCCTCGGGTTCCGTCCTCCGGTCTACCTTGGCTAACTTATGACGGAGCAAAGGTGCGCTAACTAACTCCTCCAGAAGATTTTCGGACATCCGCACCGCTCAGGGACAGAAACTCCTCCCCTTCCCATCTATCTCTCTCTACTCTTCTTATTTACTTTCCTTGTGGGTGAGGGTATGAGCATTTGAAAAGAGAAGAAAACCAAAAAGAGGTTGCTCGTGTGTCAACCGGGAATCGCACAAATGGCGTCGAAAGCCGCCATTCTGCCGCTTTTGAGGCGAGAGGTCCTCCCTGCGTCCGGCCGGTCGTGGACGAAAGCCGTATCGACCAATTGCTGCTCTCGCTACTCTACACGGGCTGCGGAGGCCATCCAGCAGCAGCCGGCAAGGGGGATTCGACGAAGGGAATATTGGGCTCGGCCCGCGATTGTAAACCAGAAGAGGACCCTGTCAGGGACGCCGGCCCGACGGAATGCGGAGGACGGCGAGGAAAAGTTTGATCCGGCGCAGGTCGAGAGAGAATCGGACAGTGTCGATGTATGCATCGTTGGAGGAGGTTAGGTTTCCCTTGTTTTTATAGAAGAATACTAGTACTATCTATCTATTATTGTGCTAATACACACCTCTTTAGGTCCTGCCGGTCTCGCGGCTGCGATAAAATTGAAACAGCTCGCGAACGAAGCGGGTAACGAAGACTTCCGCGTCCTGGTGTTGGAAAAAGCTGGTGAAATCGGAGATCACATCGTGTCCGGCAATGTCCTTCAGCCGACGGCGATCCAAGAGCTGTTCCCGGACTGGCTGTCCGAAGACAACCCATCGCGATTCGAGCACGCTACACCTGCAAAGGTGGACAGGATGCGTTTCCTTACTGAAAACTCTGCGATCTGGTTGCCAGAGCCGCCGCAGATGAAAAATCATGGCAACTACATTCTCAGTCTGAGCCAGCTATGTCGATGGCTTGGAGAGCGAGCCGAGGAGTTGGGTGTTGAGATCTACCCGGGTTTCGCTGCGAGCGAGGTGCTTTATAAGCCAGATGGATCTGTGAAGGGCGTAGCTACAAACGATTTGGGCATCGGACGAGATGGGAAGCCCAAGGATTCTTTCGAGAGGGGCATGGAGTTCCACGCCCGTGTTACTCTTCTTGCTGAAGGATGCCACGGAAGCTTGACCAAGCAAGTTATTAAGAAATTTGACCTACGCCGGGACAGCCAACCACAAACATATGGCCTCGGCATCAAGGAAGTCTGGGAAGTGAAGCCTGAGAATTTCCGCAAAGGAGAAATTACTCACACCATGGGGTATCCTTTACCATCGGACACATACGGCGGATCATTTATGTACCATTTTGGTGATAATATGGTGGCTGTGGGGTTGGTTGTCGGCCTCGACTACCCTAACCCGTGGTTATCTCCCTACGGCGAGTTCCAGAAACTAAAACACCATCCTTTGTTTAAATCTGTTTTGGAAGGGGGCAAATGTATCTCTTACGGGGGGCGTGCTCTGGTCGAAGGTGGATTGCAGTCAATACCGAAATGCGCTTTCCCTGGTGGCGCGCTGATCGGGGACAGTGCCGGCTTCATGAACGTTCCAAAAGTCAAGGGCACACATACATCCATGCTCTCCGGTATACTGGCCGCAAAAGCAGCGTTTTCCGCTCTGTCAGGAACAGAGGATGTAGGAAGCGTGTTTTTATACGAGTATGAAGACGCCTTGAGGCAATCTTCAATCTGGAAGGAACTTAACGAGGTGCGAAACATACGTCCTTCGTTCGGTCCGTTCGGTCTGCTTGGCGGCATTCTGTACTCCGGGTTGGAGACGTATCTGTTCAAGGGAAGGACGCCATGGACTTTCAAGCATCACTCCACGGACTCTGCAGCCACAAAACCGGCTTCCGAGTGCACCAAGATTGAATACCCCAAGCCTGATGGTGTGATCAGTTTCGACATCCTGACCAGCGTTAGCCGCACGGGAACCAATCATGAGGAAGACCAGCCGGTTCATCTGCAAGTGAAAGATTGGGACAAACACACAGATGCAGCGTGGCCCAAATATCAGGGCGTCGAGAACAGATTCTGCCCTGCGGGTGTATACGAATACATTGAAGATCCGTCCAAACCCCACGGGGTGCGATTCCAGATCAACTCACAAAAGTAAGTTTTCTGCTGTCCTCCTTTCGTTCTGCGCCGTCTTCTCCCCTCAGAGCGCTTTCTTCTCCCTTCTAACTTATTTTTTCCCCACAGCTGCATCCATTGCAAGACGTGCGACATCAAAGTTCCGACCCAGGATATCAACTGGCAGACGCCCCAGGGAGGTGAAGGCCCGAAGTATTTCATGACTTAGGAGACATGCAGTTTGACACGTGCAGTAAAAAATATACATACCCCTTGTTCGCACTTTTGTATATAAAATTGGTCCACCGCTCGCACTCCACATATTCTTTTCGAGCATTTTCGTAAAAGCCCTGTGGATAAAACATGTCATTGTTGCTCGGCCATTGGCGGCCTTAAAATACACCGCTGCGGTGCCCGTACGGAGTAGCTGTGCCTTGTACGTAACAATCCTCGAGAGACCAAAAAAAAAAAAAAGGGATGAAGCAGATCTTGCGAGGATAAACCCGAAGAACCCTGTAATGCGCCAGACCACACCCATCAGTCGTATCCAGCTCGTTGGATGGCGAGAAAGAAAGCGGAGTGGAGGGTTGCGAGGCTTGAAGCGGTTTAGTGGAGGCACGTGGATGGCACTCAAAGTGAGGCTGAGGATTTCAGCGCTTCTGGGTGAATTCACAACAATCACATCCCTCCGACCTCCAACAATTCGATTTCCACCACAACTGGATTACTCGCGAGCCGTCCAGGATCACACCGACTCTACATTCCATCCCAGGAGGAGCAGTCTCTTAAAAAGTCGAGAAGAATCCTCCGTATTCGAGTTGGACTCGAGTATTTGGAAGAGGCCTCCATCATATCCTTTGTCCGTCCAAAAACCAAACGTCCTTAATCAGGATTAATAAATATCGCCCACAATGAGTGAGGTCTCGTCAACGCGCCTCTATCTCGGCAATCTGCCCCGAAATGGTATGCTGGTTCTACATCTTACTTCTTCTCGCCCTCTCTGGTACAGATGATATGGTCCTTGTTACCCCACACATAACACACAACGCACATACACACTCTTCCTCTCTCATGTACCGGATATCTGGATCTACTTCCTTTCCCGGGGAAGCGGGATGGAAGGGACAGAGGCATAGGAAATTGGAATGCGAAATTGCAAATAAGCGGCCTGTTCAGATCTCTTTCAATTCATTTCCAGACAAATTCTCATGGACCTGGCTTGACCATCTTGGATTTTCGTTTGGCCGCGAGAGGCTGACGCAAAATGGGCATGGCTTTTTTGCCTGGACTCTGTTGTTTCCAGTCACCAAACAGGACGTCGAAGAACACTTCAACCAGCACGGATCCGGAAAAATCACGGATATCAAGCTTATGAGTGGTTTTGGTTTCATTGAATACGAGGATGCTTTGGACGCACGGGATGTCGTTCCTGGTGAGGACTCCGTTCTACTTTCCATCACTGGTCTCCTCCTTCACGCCCGAGGCTCGCAAATCATGGATTCCAATTTTACTGACTGAGACTTTCGGGTTTGCTCTACAGCTTACCGTATGTGATTTCATAAAAAAACAACTTCCCTTGTGCCTGGAGGGTTCACCGTTTTTTAACCCCTCATGCTTTGCAGATGGAACGGACTTCAAGGGCTCAAGACTCACGGTCCAGTTTGCACGTGGCCCACGGCACAAAGAAACATTCTCGGGACCCTCTGATCGCTCCAATGCTCCACGTCCACGTCGTACACCTTACCGTATGCAGATTTCTGGACTTCCAGAGACGAGTTGGCAGGTTAGACAGTTCTGTTTCCATTTCGGACCCATTGGGCACTCTTTCGTCTTGCTTTTATCTTGATAATCTCCGCACTACCCCCTTCCTTTCGACGGTTCATCACCAGAGACTTGTCCACTCTTTTGGTCTTTGCTCTGTGTGCTGCGTGTGAAGCTGGCCGACACCACCATGGCTCTCTTCATGCGCTCTCCACCGTCTACATTTGGCTCTATTGCTCTTGCCTTGGATCTCCTCAATCCACCACCATTCAGAGCGGAATCTCTGCTCCTTCGCAACTGGAGAAGCATTCGTTTCTGGACACAGATATCTTGGGATTGTTCTTCACCAACCTTACGAATCTGTGGCCATCCGGAGGACTTATTTCCATTGGAACTGGACTCACATGAATTGGTTTATTAGGATCTTAAAGATTTCGCCAGACAGTCTGGCCTTGACGTTGTCTACTCGGAAACACTCCGTGACCATGAAGGACGAGGGTAAGGTGACTTGTTTGGCAACCTAAGGAAGCATCAAACTGACCACCACGAAAGGTTTGTCGAATTTGAGACTGGAGCCGACCTCAAGACTGCTATCGAGAAACTGGACGGACGTGAATTCAAAGGCTCCCGTGTGACTTGCACCCAGGACGTAGGGATTCCCTGGCTCCGTACCCCGGATTACTGGTCTCATCTTTTTCTAGATCCAAGCTCCCGATGACCGCCCAGTTCGTGATCCTTATCGTTCTCGCTCCCCCGTGCGTCGTGGTGGCTATCCTCCCATGGATGATTACGACAGGCGTCCCCCACGTGGCTACAGTCCTCGTGGGCACTATCGCGAGCGATCTCCTCCACCTATGCGTCGCGATTACTATGATCGCGACGGGTATGGTCGCCGCACGCCGCCACCACGTTCTCGTATGGATGATTATCCGCCCCCTCGCCGGCCATATGATGACCCTTATGACTTCCGCCCCCCTCCACCACGTCATTATGATGACCCATACATGCAAGGCAGATATGGACGGCGACCTTTGAGTCCTCCACCTAGAGGAGACTATGGAGGCTATGATCGTCGCGGTTACTGGTAGATATCCCTCTTCTACCCATTGCTCCAAAAATAAAGCCCTACCTGTCATCCCTGCTTTCTCCTGGCAGTTTTGCATCCGATAGAATTCCCGCGTCCGGGCCCTGATATCTATTACATTAGAACGAACACGTTTCCAGCCGTCACTGCCTCTCCTTGCCTTTTACAGGAAGAACCCCCAGATTTCCAGCAGTGAAGGCTGTGTTAGATTCAGATCCTATTATTTACGACATATCCATGCATGTTCGCTTTATGATTGTTTCTTGAACATACACCCCGGATCGACGCTATACAACGAAACTGCTCTTTTGTGAAGTCCGAAGAAAGCGATCTATCTGGTGCAAATTACGTATGTAACTTTCTTCCTTTTGCTGTTTGACGCACAGAATACCTTTCTGTTGTGTGTTTTATGACTGATTTATGCGCCGTCTTTTCTGTCTCTCTTTTGATGGTTTGTTCTTTGAGTAATGAATTTGGAGGAAATTGTTGCTGTTATGCTTTATGTACTAGCTAGCGGGAATTAAAAAACAGAAAGCATAATATCTCCCTTATAAATAACAGTTACGTGTCTGCATATGCTGTGTCCAGCTATATAGCTTGAATTGGGAATTGTAGTTAAAGCTAGGCTGGAGAAAGATCCAGAAGACTGAGTTGGTTGGCACTCTCAAGTCGTCGTTAGGCCTGGTGCACCAACTCTGGCAAGACCCCGCGAAGTTAAAAATTCATGATGTTTGCGAGACGTGATCGGTGGACCGCGTCCGAGATTACCTGCTGAGGCGAGCTATTTTCCCCGCTGTCATTCTCTCCGCCAGGTTAAAATTTCCTGCAATTCCAAGAAAACCCGTTTTCCCAACATTTTCGATTCCCTTTCCAGTAAGCACAAGCAACAATGGCCGCCCAACCGGTTGATTATATCAACCTGCGAAATATCCGCTTCCCGTTTCCCCTCATCGTTGATCCTGATGCTTGGGGTCGACCGAACAAGCCTCAGCCCGCGATACTCTCCCTCCGTGTTGCTTTCCCGAGATCCCTGATAAACGAAGCCGCACGGAATGACCACGTTAGAACTACACTCAACTACAGCGCTTTATACAAGACCTTAGAAGGAAACATAAGGGGAGCTATCGCAAGAGCTGTAGACCCACAAAGCGGCGCGCCAAAAGGCTTGGGTCTGGCGGAACTGGCAGACTTGATTGAAAGTAGTGTGGATACTGAGCGATATGACCAGCTGAGTTCATCTGGCATGGCGTTGGGGCCATCTATGACAGCCGAGATGATTCTTCACCTTCCAAAGGCTGTGTTACGGGCTGCTGGAGGGTTGAGATGCCTAACGCGAACCAACGTGTCCGGCGAGAGTGAGAGGGAATTTAGGATTGAGGACATACGGTGCTATTGCATCATCGGCGTGAATGAGCATGAGAGACTTGAGAAACAAGCTGTTGACGTTGCACTGATATTCAAGTGTGTGGCGTCAGACACGGTTAGGACTGCTGCCTTTGCCCAGACGTATCCGCAAATAACGAAGAAAGCCGCTGAGGTACGCCCGCTAGTTACGTTGATTTAAAGCCCGCCGGTGAACCTGATGGACTAACTTCCCATGCTTCTAATCGGCTAGTTCGTCGATTCGTCGTCCTTCGAAACTGTTGAGGCGCTTGCAACTGAGGTGGCTAGATTAGTTATCGTCGACTTTGGCTGGGGCGAGGTGACTGTGAAAGTAGATAAGCCGAGCGCATTGGCTTTCGTGGAACACTCTGGCGTGGAGATGACGAGGACAGCCAGTTTCTTCGGGGAATGAATGAATGACTACGAATGGGGTTAGGGACGGGCAGCTCCTCTCCAATACCGCACTTTTCCCTCTTGATGACGATGCTGTCTGTATGGGGCTCAGAAAAACAATAAGAGAATATTCCCTGGCCAACCCCCCCCCCCCCCCCCCCCTCCCCCTCTCTCCCACCCACCCACCCACCCGTCCACTGGGCGCCCAGAGTCCGGGCAGCAGCGACGTATGTTGGGGCCCAACCTCCATGCTCCATGCTTGTTGCAGCTGGTGACATTTGTGAAGATTGACCACGGAGACACCCATGGTCCCCGGGAATGCGCCCCCACTTGATTCGCTTTTGCCCCGATTGACTAGTCTGTAGGTTCAGAGAACCGGCCGGCAGCACTACCTACATATACTCTCCGGAACCCTGTCGGGGTATCCATGCGCGTACTGGGGCTGGCCCTCCGCAGATTGGGTGTCGGTGCAGGAAATTTGTAAGGGAAATGTAAAACTGGGCATGACGCTGGCTTTGTAGAAAGACTCACAACATGAAAATGTGAACCAGCCATCCACTCCGTGCTGCTTTGCTATTCTGAATTAAGATATTTTCACATAGAAAGAGCCACATATGCCCCTATACCAATGCAAAAAAGGGCAATTCTATGAGACACTGCAGTGGACTTGGGAAAGCTCACTTGAAATTAATTCTTTGCTTGTCACTTTCTGGCTGGTGAATGTTCTGGTTGATAAAAGACCGTTTCAGGCACCGGAAACACCCTGCAATAGCCGCCGGAGTTTGCGCTAGTCCAGATATAGCCTAGTTGCCGCGGGTGACCAATGGTGGGTGTCGGTCGCTAATTGGGCAGTTTGAGGTCAAGTTTCGATTGTTTTTGGCAACTTTTTGCACGTCGTCAACTTCTTTTGCGCAGTGCAGTCTTTGTTTCATCATTTTGACGTCGAAAGGACATATCTTTTCGTTCAGTGTAAGGAGCGTCAGATCCGGCAGTATTTTTACTCCAACCATCCAGGAAATATATATCGTGTGGACATTATCTATGGGCTTACGCGCACCGAATTCGTACCCGTCTCAGATCAACGTGCTTCCAGGGCGCCTTTTCCCCGTTTCACTCATTAACCCAGCTTCAACCCAGGAGATTTCAGCATATCCAATCGTGTATCTTGGAGACGGTGTGCCAGGATCACCGGCTGACGACGTAGTGTGGGTACCGGTGCAAAGTCCGTCCTGAACAGGGCGGACGGTAATCTAACCCAGGGCCGTCTGAAGGCACGGCGCCTGTCGGAGATATTCTTTTTTTTTTTTTTTTTTTTATCGAGGTATCTTTCTTAGGAAACCCGTCTTGTATCTCTCCTGCCGTCTATATCTCAGGCTCACCTCTCTGCTTTCAACAGATATTTGCTGCGGTTCCTCTGAACCAGTCCGCAAGTTCGGCCAGCTCGCCCCGGTCCCATTGTTCCATGTGAAAGCCGTACACAAATTGATCCTCCCGTTCGACCCGGTGCAGTTGCTGTGACGGTGCAAGTTTCGACCGCCCTGAGCCAGCCAGAGCGCGAAAACTCTGCTCTTACCCAACGCAACTAGAACCGTTATGGCTTCGGGAGCGTGGACACTGGAAGAACTCTCTGTATCGGATGTCTTTGCTCCTCAAACAGTCGAAAATGTGGAACAAACGGATCCATGCCTCCCACATGGAGCAGGAAAGGGGCCTTCGCCTCGCGACAGTGGAAGCTCAAGCACTGGGTTCAGAATGACCGCGGAGGTCAGTCCGACTCGAGGCTGTTGGACAGGTTCAGCCCTAGGACGTGATGATGGAAATTCAAACCAGCCCATTGGGGCAACAAGCTCCAAGAAGAAGCGGAGAAATAAACGTCGCCAGAATCCGGCCGCCTTCCCAGAGTTGTTTCCTCCAGAAGACGGTAATAATCGGGCGAGCACTAGCCGGAGTGGTACACCCAAAGCACCGTCACCACTCCTTCAGCCACTTAGAGGCGCTGGGAAGAGCCCTGCATTTCGACCAGCGACCCCAAATGGAATCAGTGCCCTAAAAATGCAGCTGGATGCGCTCAACTTAACTCCAAGTGAGGCACCATCAAGCAATGCGAGTGTGATGGGTTCCGAAGCTGGAACCAGCTGCGCAAGTGTAGTGTCCGACAGTGATCAGACCGAGACCTACGAAGTTCATCTGGAACATGATTTCGTTAGCTCTGAGGCTAACGATGGAGAAAAAGGGGCTTCTGACGGCTTGTCTAAGGAACAAAAACGAAACATACTCTACCGGAAGATGTCTGCTGAGGATTTTGAACCCCTGACCTGCCTTGGGAAGGGTACCTATGGGACCGTCCTGCTAGTTCGCCATAAAATAACTGGTGCCCTGTATGCCCAGAAGCAATTCCGCAAGGCGTCTCTTACTGTGCATAAGAAGCTGGTCGAGCAGACCAAGACCGAACGGGCCATTCTGGAAAGCGTCAATCGCTATCCTTTCATTGTTAACTTGTATTATGCTTTTCAGGATCATGAGAAGCTCTACCTCATCCTGGAGTATGCACAAGGTGGTGAGTTATTTACTCACCTGGCAATGGAGCGCATGTTTACCGAGGACGTTGCGGCCTTCTATATGGCGGAGTTGGTGCTTGCTCTTGAGCATCTCCATCACAATATTGGTGTTATTTACCGCGACCTTAAGCCGGAAAATTGTCTGTTAGACACTGAAGGCCACCTGCTCTTGACGGATTTTGGGCTTAGCAAGGTGTCTGTGAACGGTGAGGACCGCTGCAATTCGTCTCTAGGCACTGTCGAGTATATGGCGCCCGAAGTTATCCAGGGTAAGCCGTATGGTAAAGCGTGTGATTGGTGGTCCCTTGGCGCATTAGGATTTGACTTGTTAACCGGTTCTCCTCCTTTCAAGGGGAACAATAATGCAAAGATCTCAGAAAAGATCATCAAACAGAAGCTTGTTCTTCCCTACTTTCTCGGCCCAGATGCAAAGGACTTGCTTACTCGTCTCCTTCGGAAGGAGCCGCACAAGCGCCTGGGATATAATATGCCAAAAGACATTAGGACAATTAAAGGCCACCGTTTCTTCCGCAAAATTGATTGGAAAGCTCTGGAAAGGCGTGAACTTGATCCACCTATCAAGCCTGTCGTGACGGACCCAGCTCTTGCGGAGAATTTCTCTGCTGATTTCACGACCCTGCCTCTTAGCCCAGTTGTGACAAGCAAAGGAAGTTTCCGCGATAGAATGAACAAAGGCGAGGAGGGTTTTGGTGCCTGTAGCCCGACTCGTCCAAGGCCGATGGAAATGAATGCCGGCTTTCAGGACGATCCGTTTGGTGGATTTAGCTTCGTTGCGCCGAGTAGTCTCCTCGATAGCGAGTTTAATTATGGGGCTGGGCGTCTTGCTTGACTGTATGGCTGTGATGCGGAGCGGCTGGCTTTGGCGTTTCCACCGCAGTACATGTGGCAAGCAGTATTTGTGATGTCTGGTGGCTTGGGCTGCCAGGTTAAAGAACAGAAATGTCACACACCGAGTGAGGTGGGGTCTATCTATATTCATTGTCTAGAGAGAGCATATGTTGGTTCGTGGGTTTATAGACAGGCCCTGGTTCGCTTATGTCAATCCAATCTGAGTCCCAGGAGAAAAACCTCCTTTCCTTTCCCCATAATGTAGTACTCCTGAAGGCGCTTGAAATCGTCTGCCAGGTACTCCGTATTGTTATTCGTTTCGAATGTTTAAGACCAGGCCAGTCGTGGTGTTCGTATTCTACTATTGGTTAAATGCGTTAGCCAGTAGCTTTA